TCTAAGAAAGAAACTTGGATGTGATTCCTGGCACATGAGAGTGCTTGGGAGACACAGATGAGAAGCTATTACATTTTTGGAGGCCTTGAATTGGGAAAAGGAAGTGCTGGTCTAACCTGAAAACATCTGCATCTACTGAACCCTGAAGAACCCTCAAGACACCTAAGCAGCAGTAAGCACAACTGTCAGAGGAAGCGGCTTTCCAAAGGCCACTTCAGATGTGAAGATGTGGAAGCTATGAAAGACCTCTGAGAAGACAAATCTAGGGACCTGCAGGATAAAGGACAAGAGCTAGGCTTCTCACACCTTCCAGGGAGCAGAACCAGGGTCTAATCTACTTTCATTGACTCAATAGGGGGTCCCGCAGAAGCCATCATTTCTTTGGACAAGTGTGTGCATGCTTAGTCACTAAGTCATGTCTGACTCTTTGCGACCCCATGGGCTGTAGCCCTCCAGGCTCTTCAGTCCATGGGGATTCTCCAGGCAAGAATACTGGAGTGGGTTGCCATTTCCTTCTCTGGGGGATCTTCCAAACCCAGGGATCAAACCCACGTCTCCTGCATTGGCAGGTGGTTCTTTACCACTGAGCCACCAGGGAATCCCAGCCAATCACTAAGGATTATAAAATAGGTATGTCTTCCAAGGGGGAAGCAGTGGGGTGGGAAGAATTAGGAGAGAGGGATTGACACGTACACACTATTGATACTATGTGTGAAATAGATAACTACTGAGAACATATTGTACAGCGCAGGGAACTCTAATTCACTGCTGTGACCTGAGTGGGGAGAGAGCTCTAAAGCAAGGGGATACACATACGTGTGTGGCTGAAACTCATTCACTGCAGTGACCTGAGTGGGGAAAGAGCTCGAAAGGGAGAGGATACACGTATGTGTGTGGCTGATTCACCTTGCTGTACAGTAGAAGCTAACACAACACTGTAGAGCAACTGTACTCCAATAAAATCAATTTTAAAAATTAAAAAATAAAATAGGTGTGTCTTTAATTCCAAACAATGCTGGAAAACAAGAAGGACCATAAATTATGAGAACTATACAGAATATCTGATAGATGGAAATCAAGCAGCTGGAGAAAATGAAGCTCAAAATGGTCCCCAAAGAGAGATGCAACAAAAGAGGGTGCCCCAAACTCAGAGTAAGTAGTTTTGGGAGCTGGAGGACTAGTTGGCATTCTGGGAGAAGAGCAGCCCGATGACTCCTCCCACCCTGGCCTTGTACCAAGTACCTGGGAGACCAGGCGTCTGCCTCCAGGAAGGAGTACTGAGTGCAGGGACCTGAAACGGTGCCGTGAGGGAGGCAGCCAGCCAGAAAACTAAAAACCACTGCACCTCACTCAGCAAAGCATCTGTAATCCCTCAAAACCACGGGAAGTGGGCAGCAGTAACAGACACAGCACCACAGGCAAACTGACGTGGAATCTCAAATGAGACGTTGCACACAGAGCAAAGAATTGTTTTTTATCCATTAGTACTTGGCAAAATCTGAAGTCTAATGACACAGGCAAGGGGAAGCAGGTATTGCTATATGAATAGTAGTGTACCTGTTTTAGCAGGTAATTTGGAAGTATCGACGGTCTCTTAAATGCATTCACTCTAACTCAGCAATTTCATTTCCAAGAAGGACTTGCCCATCATCATGTAGAGTCAGATAAAGGACATTCCTTTTAGAAAATAACTGGAAGCAACCTTAATGTATATTAATACAGGAAATGGTATATATATAATGGAAAACTATGAAGCCATTAAAAAATAATAGGATAACACATATACAATGGAATATTACTCAGCCATAAAAACAGCAAAATAATGGCATTTGCAGCAACATGGATGGACCTAGATTGTCATACTCAGTGAAGTAAGTCAGACAGAGAAAGACAAAGTCAGACATATATATACATAAGTGGTATATGTAAGATCACTTATATGTGGATTCTAGAAATATGGTAGAAATGAACTTATTTACAAAATAGAAATAGAATCACAGATATAGAAAACAAACTTGTGGTTACCAGGGAGGAAGGGGGAGGAGGGCTCAACGGGGAGACTGGCATTGACATATACATGCTACAATATATAAAATAGATAACTAATCAGGACCTATTGTACAGCACAGGGAACTCTACTCAACAATCTGTAATGACCTATATGGGAAAAGAATCTAAAAACAGAGTGAATACACGCATATGTATAACTGATTCACTTTTCTGTACATCTGAAACTAACACATTTTAAATAGACTATACTGCAATAAAATTTTTTTTTAAAAATAGTGGGGCATATCCATATGCATGATGTGGGAATAACTCCAACAAACAATGGTACATTTACAAAAGCTAAGCGTAGCATAATACCTCTAGTACAAGATCTTGTATTTGAAAACAGTGAAGGGTCTAAAGCAGTAAGTATACAGTATATCTATGAACATAAATAGATATGACAGTGTTCATACAAAATTTTTAACACTGGCAACATCTAGGAAGGGGCCTGGGGTATAGTGAGTGATCACAAGAAACTAAAGTATAACTTACACCACTTGAATGCTACTTTTCTCAGTTCAACCATTTTCTTCAGACATATATTTGTGCCATTTGTCTAATTAAAAAATAATGATGCAACACTTATGGCGGTGCCTACTACACAGCAGGTGCTCAGCCAATGCTAATTCAAATTTTTTTTAAATTAGGGAAATTTTTTACAAGAGTTAAAAATTTAAATATAGAGGATAATGCAGCATGATGTTTCTATGGCCAAAGTTTGACACACGAGAAGGTGGTAGGTATAGATCTGATAGACAGAGTGCCTGATGAACTATGGACAGAGGTTCGTGACATTGTACAGGAGACAGGGATCAAGATCATCCCCAAGCAAAAGAAATGCAAAAAAGCAAAATGGCTGTCTGAGAAGGCCTTACAAATAGCTGTGAACAGAAGAGAAGTGAAAAGCAAAGGAGAAAAGGAAAGATAGTCCCATCTGAATGCAAAGTTCCAAAGAATAGCAAGGAGAGAAAAGAAAGCCTTCCTCAGCAATCAATGGAAAGAAATAGAGGAAAACAACAGAATGGGAAAGGCTAGAGATCTCTTCAAGAAAATTAGAGATACCAAGGGATCATTTCATGCAAAGATGGACTCAAAAAGGACAGAAATGGTATGAACCCAACAGAAGTAGAAGACATCAGGAAGAGGTGGCAAGAATACACAAAAGAATTGTACAAAAAAGAACTTCACGACCCAGATAATCATGATTGTGTGATCACTCACCTAGAGCCAGACATCCTGGAATGTGAAGTCAAGTGGGCCTTAGGAAGCATCACTACAAACAAAGCTGGTGAAGGTAATGGAATTCCAGTTGAGCTATTTCAAATCCTAAAAGATGACGCTGTGAAAGTGCTGCACTCAATATGCCAGCAAATTTGGAAAACTCAGCAGTGGCCACAGGACTGGAAAAGGTCAGTTTTCATCCCAGTCCCAAAGAAAGGCAATGACAAAGAATGCTCAAACTACTGCACAATTGAACTCCTCACACGCTAGTAAAGTAATATTCAAAATTCTCCAAGCCAGGTTTCAGCAATACGTGAACCATGAACTTCCAGATGTTCAAGCTGGTTTTAGAAAAGGCAGAGGAACCAGAGACAAATTGCCAACATCCGCTGGATCATGGAAAAAGCAAGAGCGTTCCAGAAAAACATCTATTTCTGCTTTATTGACTATGCCAAAGCCTTTGACTGTGTGGATCACAATAAACTGTGGAAAATTCTGAAAGAGATGGGAACACCAGACCACCTGACCTGCCTCTTGAGAAACCTGTATGCAGGTCAGGAAGCCAACAGTTAGAACTGGACATGGAACAACAGACTGGTTCCAAATAGGAAAAGGAGTACATCAAGGCTATATATTGTCACCCTGCTTATTTAACTTACATGCAGAGTACATCATGAGAAACGCTGGGGTGGATGAAGCACAAGCTGGAATCAAGACTGCTGGGAGAAATATCAATAACCTCACATATGCAGATGACACCACCCTTATGGCAGAGAGTGAAGAGGAACTAAAAAGCCTCTTGATGAAAGTGAAAGAGAAGAGTGAAAAAGTTGGCTTAAAGCTCAAGATTCAGAAAACTAAGGTATTGGCATCCGGTCCCATCACTTCATGGGAAATAGATGGGGAAACAGTGGAAACAGTGTCAGACTTTATTTTTGGGGGCTCCAAAATCACTGCAGATGGTGACTGCAGCCATGAAATTAAAAGACGCTTACTCCTTGGAAGGAAAGTTATGACCAACCTAGATAGCATATTAAAAAGCAGAGACATTACTTTGCCAACAAAGGTCTGTCTAGTCAAGGCTATGCTTTTTCCAGTAGTCATGTATGGATGTGAGAGTTGGACTATAAAGAAAGCTGAGTGCCAAAGAATTGATGGTTTTGAAGTGTGGTGTTGGAGAAGACTCTTGAGAGTCCCTTGGATTGCAAGGAGATCCAACCAGTCCATCCTAAAGGAGATCAGTCCTGGGTGTTCAATGGAAGGACTGATGCTGAAGCTCAAACTCCAATACTTTGGCCACCTCATGCGAAGAGTTGACACATTGGAAAAGACCCTGATGCTGGGAAAGATTGAGGGCAGGAGGAGAGGGGACAACAGAGGATGAGATGGCTGGATGGCATCACCGGCTCAATGGGCATGAGTTTGAGTAAACTCTGGGAGTTGGTGATGGACAGGGAGGCCTGGCGTGCTGCGGTTCATGGAGTCGGACACGATTGAGCGACTGAACTGAACTGAATGTGGTGGAATTTGTCCTTGATATAAGTACTCAATACAAGAAAGCAGGAAAGGGTGCATTACTAAGGGGTAAAGGGAATTCACCAAATAACCTAAGAGAGAAATTCAGAATCTCAGTGTAACCACACAGAATACAGCAATGAGCAGTGAGCAAGCACTTTCAGCATAGCCTTGTAGAAGGGCATGCAGTACCCACAGAATGGTCAGCTCACCTGTTGTCTTTGCTGAGGAGGCGGTGGACACCCCATTGAGCTCGCTGGGACTCCTTTTTATGGGCCGTGGCTTGTATTCTCGCTTGGGGACGTTGGAGGCAGCTGATATCCTGTGATATACACATTTTAAGATCAGTCAGACATCTGATGAAAAATTCAAAGCCTCCAAAACTACATTTGTTCTGCCTTGTGGACCTACACATTTAGGTCCTAAGGTGATGGTCATGAAGGGGGTAATTTTTACACAGTGACCCTTGAGTAGCCCAAAGTGATGGCTCTGATATCCAAAATGTAGTTTTTTGGCTATATGCAGGCATCGAAAAAGCAAGAGAGTTCCAGAAAAACATCTATTTCTACTTTATTGACTATGCCAAAGCCTTTGACTGTGTGGATCACAATAAACTGTGGAAAATTCTGAAAGAGATGAAAATACCAGACCACCTGACCTGCCTCTTGAGAAACCTATATGCAGGTCAGGAAGCAACAGTTAGAACTGGATATGGAACAACAGACTGGTTCCAAATAGGAAAAGGAGTACATCAAGGCTGTATATTGTCACCCTGCTTATTCATCTTATATGCAGAGTACATCATGAGAAATGCTGGGCTGGAGGAAGCATAAGCTGGAATCAAGATTGCCGGGAGAAATATCAATAACCTCGTATATGCAGATGACACCACCCTTATGGCAGAGAGTGAAGAGGAACTAAAAAGCCTCTTGATGAAAGTAAAAGAGAAGAGTCAAAAAGTTGGCTTAAAGCTCAAGATTCAGAAAACTAAGGTCATGGCATCCGGTCCCATCACTTCATGGGAAATAGATGGGGAAACAGTGTCAGACTTTATTTTTGGGGGCTCCAAAATCACTGCAGATGGTGACTGCAGCCATGAAATTAAAAGACGCTTACTCCTTGGAAGGAAAGTTATGACCAACCTAGATAGCATATTAAAAAGCAGAGACATTACTTTGCCAACAAATGTCCGTCTAGTCAAGGCTATGCTTTTTCTACTGGTCATGTATGGATGTGAGAGTTGGACGGTGAAGAAAGCTGAGTGCTGAAGAATTGATGCTTTTGAACTGTGGTGTTGGAGAAGACTCTTGAGAGTCCCTTGGACTGCAAGGAGATCCAACCAGTCCATCCTAAAGGAGATCAGTCCTGGGTGTTCATTGGAAGGACTGATGTTCAAGCTAAAACTCCAATACTTTGGCCACCTCATGCGAAGAGTTGACTCACTGGAAAAGACCCTGATGCTGGGAGGGATTGGGGGCAGGAGGAGAAGGGGACGACAGAGGATGAGATGGCTGGATGGCATCACTGACTCGATGGACATGAGTTTGGATAAACTTCGGGAGTTGGTGATGGACAGGGAGGCCTGGCGTGCTGCAATTCATGGGGTCGCAAAGAATCAGACACAACTGAGCAACTGAACTGAACTGAAACATACCTTATTTTATTGCACTTTGCAGACATTTGCTTTTAAAAAAAAAAAAAAAAAAGAACAACTGAAGGTTTGTGGCTACTCTTTGTACAGCAAGTCTCTAGGTGCCATTTTTCCAAGAGCATTTTCTCACTTTGCATCTCTGTATCCCATTTGATAATTCCCCAAATATTTCAAACTTTTTCTTAGTTATCCTATCTGTTGTGGTGATCTGTGATTAGAGATCTTTGATGTTTACTGTTGTAATTAATATGGGCCCCAGAAACAGTGGCATGTGAGCTGGCAAGCTTAATTGATAAATGTGTGTTCTGACTGTTCTACCTACCACCTCCAGCTGTTCCCCCATCTCTCTCCTTCTCCTTGGGCCTCCCTATTCCCTGAAGCACAACAATATTGAAATTAGGCCAATTCATAACCCTGTAATGGCCTCTAAGTCTTCAAGTGAAAATCTCATATCACTCACTTTAAATCAAAAGCTAGAAATGATTAAGCTTAGTAAGGAAGGCACATTAAAAGCCAGGAGAAGTCAAAACCTAGGCTTCTTGTACCACACAGCCAAGTTGTGGATGCAAAGGTAAAATTTTTGAAGGAAATGAAAAGTGCTTCTCCAGTGAACACACAAGTGATAAGAAAGCTAAACAGGCTTATAGCTGCTATGGGGAGAGTTGTAGGGGTCTGGATGTAGCTCATGGATGACGTTGGGGGGTTCAAGACTTCAGTGAAGGAAGTCACTGCAGATGTGGTGGAAAGAGTAAGAGAACTAGAAGTGGAGCCTGAAGATGTGACTGAATTGCTGCAATCCTCTGATAAAACTTGAATGGATGAGGAGATGTTTCCTATAGATGAGAAAAGAAAGTGACTTCTTGAGATGGAATCTATCCCTGGTGAAGATGCTGTGAAGATTGTTGGAATGGCAATAGAGATTTACAATATGACATGACTTGGTTGATAAAGCAGCAGCAGAGTTTGAGAGGGTTGACTTCAATGGTGAAAGAGGTTCTACTGTGGGTAAAATGCTATCCAACAGCACTACCTGCTACAGAGAACTTGTTTGTAAAAGGCAGAGTCAACCAATGCTGCAAACTTCATTGTCTTACTTTATGAAATTGTCACAGCTGCCCCAACCTTCAGCAACAACCACCCTGATTATTGAACAGCCATCAACATTAAGGCAAGATGCTTCACCAGTAAAAAGATTAGGACTTGCTGAAGGCTCAGGTGATGGTTAACACTTTTAACAATAAATATTTTTAAATTAGAGTATATACTGGGTTAGCCAAAACATTCATTTGAGTTTTTTCCATAAGGTGTTACAGAAAAATCCCAAAACAAACATTTTGGCCAACCCAATACATAGTGGGTTTTTTTTTTTTTCTTAGACACAATGCTATTTCACACTTAAAAGACTACAGTTTAGCATAAACAGAACTTTTATATGCACTAGAAAGCCAAAATATTCATATGACTCACTTTACTACAATATTCACTGTATTGTGGTAGTCTGGAACCAAATTCTCAGTATCTCCAAGGTATGTCTGTATTTGTAAAGTATTTTCTCTCATAAAGTCTCTGAGGCATCTAGCAAGTACCAGGGATGAATTGGGTACTCAACAATGTTCACTTCCCTCTCTTTTTCCTCTTATAAAGATAGAATTATGAAAAGACACACGTGTGAGCAGGAGATGAACTACCTGCCTTCGAAACTGGATGATTCAGAGACTGGATACACCTTGTGTCTTCCCTTCTATAATTACTGCACTGATTTAAGCCAAAACCCCTCCAAATTTACTCATTATGATAATCTCATATAAAGCAATTATCTGTTCTCAAATTTGGTCAAAAAATAAGGTAGTATTTCAACCCAGTATTTCAATTAATAGGGTTACCATGCATGACACTTGTATCACTGATTTTCAGAAAAGTAGACAATACGCTCATCAATAAAGTCATAAGGAACACAGCAATCTTTCTTTGACCACTCGGGGGCATTTTTGGCTCTTTCAGTATCAGAGTCAATATTGTAAACATGCCCTGATATTTGTGCTGGGGAAGTAAAAATACATCTCGTTCGAGATAATTACATACTAACTGGTGGGCTTCCCCAGAGGGTCAGTGGTGAAGAATCCGCCTGCCAATGCAGGAGATGCAGTCTGACCCCTAGGTCAGGAAGATCCCTTGGAGCAGGAAATGGCAACCAACTCCAGTATTCTTGCTAAGAAAATCCCATGGACAGAGGAGCCTGGCAGGCTACATTCCATGGGGTCACAAAGAGTCAGATATGACCGAGTGACTGAGCACACACACGAGAACCTACTGTGTAGCCCAGGGAACACTACTCAGTACTCTGTAATGGCCTATGCAAGAAAATAATCTAAAAAACGAGTGAGAGTGTTAGTAGCTCAGCTGTACCCAACTCTTTGCAACCCCATGGACGCCAGGCTCCTCTGTCCATGGGATTCTCCGGGCAAGAATACTGGAGTAGATAGCCATTCCCTTCTCCAGGGGATCTTCCCAACCCAGTGATGTATGTATATGTATAACTGATTGACTTTGCTATACACTTGGAATTATTAATAATACACACTGTCTGAAGACCATCTCACTCCTCCCCACATCCCTAGATGCTAAGGAGTGGCCCTATGCCATCCCACCTTCAGCTAAACTCTCATCATGCCAGCAATGAAGACAGGACTGCTCTGAAAGGGCTGAACTCCAAGGCAAATGTGCAACCTGGGTTGCCCTAAACACAGGTCATGGAATAAGGGACTTGAGCAAAACGAGAAAGGAGAAAAGCTGCCAGACCTCCTTTCCAGGTTCTGTCCTATTGGACAAAGTCATACGATTATTATCTCAGCACAATCCACACCCAACCATGAAAGCCAGTGGAAGAAAATTCAAAACAGAAAGGGGCAGTGGGAAGGGGGAACTGGAGAGAAACAGAGAGATGGATTTCTACTGACTTCAACTCTGCAGCCCTCATCTGGCAGTCAATGGGGAGGCACTTACCTCATCTGTAGCTTGCTCTGCAGCTCCTGCAGAATCTCTGTGGACTGTCTGTGATAATCTAAAGCGGCCTCGACAAACACAGCCAGCTGGCTGACTTGTTCTACCTGCGGCACAAGTGGAAAATGACTCCGTGGAGGCCAGAGCCTGGGTCTTGTTCAGATAGAGGAGAGACTGGCGACCCAGACCCAGCCTTTCAGGGAAGACCCCCACCCCGCCACCACCACCAACCCTGTCTGCCTCGGCTCTGGTCAATTTCGTTTCATTTCATTGCAAAGTAATAATCACACAGGTCATGGTAGAGAGCTAGATATGCTGGAGAAACATGTTCAAATCTACTTTTGATTATGAAGCTGCTTTAACTCAATAAAAAAAGTCTGTTTTTCCAATTAGATGATATTCTTGGGAGATGTGTATGCTATAAAGCTCATGGATCTGAAAAAGGAGAGATAAAGCTTTTTCAATGACAACTCAAGCCAACATTTAGTAAATGAATTTGCTTCCTTAGTGAAGTGTCTCTACGGGCACTTTTGAGCTAAGTCACATCAAGAAAGTAAGTAAATTAAGCTCTTTTCAGGCTTCCCAGGTGGCGCAGTGGTAAAGAATCTGCCTGTCAATGCAGGAGACACAGGAGATGCAGGTTCGATCCCTGGGTCAGGAAGATCCTCTGGAGAAGGAAATGGCAACCCACTCCAGTATTCTCACCTGGAGAATCCCCATGGACAGAGGAGTCTGGTGGTCTACAGTCCATGGGGTCGCAAAGAGTCAGACACGACAAGCAACTGAGCAGCACACAAGCTGTTTTCAGATAAGAAAAGAAGCCAGGGAGCAGGTCGTGCCCCAGGGCAAAAATATGCCAGCCCCCTATATGTATTTATTGCCAACAGCACAAAATAATTTCCCTGAAATAAACAACCCAAAGGAATGAACTAGGAAGACTGTGGCATCTCTCTTCCCATGAACCAAGACATTCATGAAATTTGAGACTAAATTACAGTGGATGAAAAAAAATAAAATCAAAAGTTATGTTATATAGAGAGCCCCAAAGACCTGGGGATGCAAAATTTGAGGAAGAGACGTCTCCAGTGGGGTATCAGAGCTCTGCCCGCAGCTTCCCTATTATGTCTGGGGGGCTGCAACAGAAAGGAGGGATGAATGGAGCTGATTTCCACAAGCCTCAGAGGAGGGACCATTGGGTGGAGGTGATGGGAGGGAAGGGGTTCCAAGAGTGAAAGCTAGGAACTCCAGAACCAGACAGAGCACAAACCAAAATCAATCCCGCTCTTTCCTAAAATTCCCCAGAGTGTATACCTCATCTCCTTACTTCATTTCTCAGTAACTTAGGGGAAAGTCTGCCTTCTTAGTCCCTCCTACACATTCACCCTGCAAAACCAATCATGGGCTCCTTTGCCTTCAAAGACCCAAGCTATTTTCATTTTCTATTACTGACTGTGCTTTATCTGTCCACACTTTAATTCTCCTTGCCCACGCACGCCATTTTAAACACAGGCTCACTGTTCACGTAAGATCTACATGGACTTCCGCTTGGGTCATTCTGTGATCTGTGTCTGCACAATGAAATCCCATCATATCACATTTACATAACCACACTCTGTGGCTGGAAAAGCAACAAGCCTAAGCCTGAAATTTCCAAAAACCCAATAAACAAAACAAAGACAGCCTGGCCCCTGCAAAATTCTAAGGATTTAAGTTTCACCTCTTTGACTTGTACACATACTTTTAAATAAGTCCAGCACCATGGTCTAACAGGATCACAGCAGAATCTGCTTCAGATTCCTTACAGTGCAAGAGCTGTGGCTGGTTAACAACTGCACCACACTCCTCTGTCTTTAGTAAGGTTAATTTATATATATACATACATATTTTTAAAAATAATTTTATTTATTTACTTTTGGCTGTGCTAGGTCTTCATTGCTGCACAGGCTCTTCTCTAGTTGTGGCAAGTAAGGGCTACTCTCTAGCTGCGGTGTGCAGCCTTCTCATTGTGGTGGTTTCTCTTGTTGTGGAGCATGGGCTCAGTTGCTCCATGACATGTGAGATCTTCACGGATCAGGGGTTGAACCCAGGTCTCCTGCATTGACAGGTGGATTCTTTACCATTGAGCCACCAGAGAAGCCCAACTTTTTTTTTTTAAGAGTGTGTTTTTTTTTTAATGTGAACCATGTTTAAAATCTTAATTGAATTTGTTAAAATATTGTTTCTGTTTTATGATTTTTTTTTTTTTTTGGTAGCCACAAGGCATGTAGGATCCTAGTTCCCTGACCAGGGATTGAACCTGCACCATCTGCATTGGAAGGTAGTCTTAACCACTGGACCACCAGCGAAGTCCCCAAAGTCACTTTCTAGGGGCATGTGACTAAGCAGAAGCAAAACCAAAACCATATAACAGGTCTTTCACTATTTGTTGGATGTGCTTTCTATTAGTGCAATACTTCCTAGATGTCTTCTTCCATATATCACAAGTCCCTTGATATGTCAATAAAATAATAGTTATAAATTCCCTGACAGCTTAGCAGGTAAAGAAACCACCTGCCATACAGGAGACACAGGAGACTCAAGTGACTCAGGTTCGATTCCTGGGTCAAGAAGATCCCCTGGAGGAGGAAATGGCAACCCACTTCAGTATTCTTGCCTGGAAAATCCCATGGATAGAGGAGTCTGGCAGGCTACAGTCCAAAGGGTCGCAAAAAGTCAGACACAACTGAGCACATACTCATTCATTCAATAGTAATAATAGTGGTGTGGAAGAGTTCTATGATCAGATAACTTTGAGAAACTGCCTTGTGTATTCTCTCTTAGGACTCTCTTAGAGATTAATTTTTCATATATTCATATAATGAGTTTGAAAAGCCTTCTGATAAAGAAAACCTGTTTAGTTTTGGTTAACCCAGGGTTTCCTAAATTTATTTGACTGTGGAGACATTATTGACAAAACACAAACTGCATCCTGTGGAATAAATTTTGGGAAACTCCACTCTAGATCAATGAAAAGCACCCAGGAATCTGGAATCTGGTCAGTTCACTTGTCCTGGGAGCCCATGGACAGAGGGAGCCATTCCCAGGCTGGGCGTTTGTATCAAGAGAGCAGAGAGAATACTGCAGATGCCTGCCTTCGTGGAGCTGGGGAAATGGCATCTTCTGTGTGGTATTTCTGGCTCTTGCCAAAGTCAAAGACCTACATTCCATTATGTCAAGTCATGAGGAATAAACCTCTCTGCAAAGACTGAAGAGGAGCGTGTTAACAGGTCTCAGGGTGATTCAGCATTCCCAAGAAAATGGCAGTGGGGGGACTTCCCTGGTGGTCCAGTGGCTAAGACTCCCCACTCCCAATGCAGGGGGCCTGGGTTCCATCCCCGGTCGGGGAACTAGATCCCACGTGCCACAACTAAGAGTTCACATGCCTCCACTAAACATTCTGAGCACCATAACTAAGACCTGGCGCAGCCAAACACATAAAAATAATTGAAAAAAAAATGGCAGTAGAGACTGGGAACCAACTTCTGAATACCCTGTACCCCCACCTCAGAGCTCACTGCCAGGGGTACAAGGGCCCCTCTCCTAGGGGGCGCTGCTCTGGGTGCCTCTGAGGGCACAGGCAGTCCCAGCCTGACCCAGCAAAGGAACCATCCGAGACCTGCCCCTCTGGGCTCCTGGGAAAGCTCGGGGCCCCAAACACCTCCTGCTTGCACCTGCATGGAGAGTAAGGAAGCTACTCAGCCCCCAGCCTGAGGTGAAGTAATGCTCAAGGTCCCCAGTCCCACTCTTACTGACAAGTCCCCCAGGGACAACAGTGGGGGGCCAAAGGGGACTCTTCTCTGATTCTCGCATTGCCAACTCTGCCCCAAATAGGCAGGAAAACAGATGCCACTTTCCCTTAGGAGTGTTGGTGTGAACCACTCGGGTCCTTCTCACCACCCCTTCCTTCTTTCCACACCAGAGGAGGAGGAGGAGGTGGTCTGTTTGATTGATGAGATCAGGGCGAATGGACCCTGCACTGGAAAGGCAAGGGGGTCTTGGCCCGGGAGGTCTGTTTTCTTGAAGAGAGTGGGTTTGTAAAGCGACTTTTCTGCTCGGCCCACCCACTCCCCGAGGGTGGCTCTACAGTCTAGACCAGGCCTGGGGGAGGCAGCTGGAGTCCCATGTGGACACAGGCCCAAGCTGCCCACGTGATTTTCCAGACGGTCCTGTCCTCCAGGCAGGGGGCTGGTTTGTCGTCCTTCTATGCCTGACCCCTGCCTCTCAGTGGGGAGAATGTAGATGGAGAAGACAGATAAGCAACCTCACCTGGAAACCCCTACCAACTGCCCGTCGACCAGAGAATCAAAGGGAACTGGAGAACATTTTCCAGACCCTTCCTCCTCAACAAGACTGCCAGACCACTTGGATATGGCCAGACACTGTGGTGGAAAAAGACAAGGCTGTCCCTTTCTGGGTCTGTGCTTGACACAAGAAGAGGATGAAGACAGTCTTCCGGAGCTTCCACAATAACCTGTGAGTCTTCTCGACCGTCAACCTGGGAGGGGCAAAGTCAGGAGCAGCCCCCCTCTCATGAGTCACCTGGTAAACGGTAGCCCTCGCCTCTGTCATCACCACCACCACCATCCGTGCTTAGCACTGTCGTTATCTCGGGAATCAGCAACCGCAGCACAGATGGGTAAGGACCACTGTGGCTAAAACCAGCGCAAGGCAAGGTGGAGAGAGAAAGCGAAGGGATCTAGTACCAAGGAAGCCTGCAAAGGCCTTCACCCTTTCCTTATTCTGATCTCTTCCCATCTCAATGGTCGATTTCCATGGAGATGTGCACCCAGGCCCTAAAATGAGGGAGCAGACCACGCTCCTCAGAGCTGAATGAAACCACCCCACCTTTACCCGCTAAGGGAAACTTTAGGGGGAACCCTGAAATTCATGCCTCTGTGAGGCCTGAGTTACAAACTAGCCTTCTCCCAGGGTAGCCTGGGAAGGGGTTAACTCATTTGAGACAAGCAGAATACTGTCCCTGTCAACAAATGGACAAATGACTGAGCTTTTGTAAGGAAGGGATTATTTCTGATTTTGATTGATACTAGAAGGAAAGCTGAGCTCTCTTGGGTCAACCACCAAGGGTAGAGAAACTGATTCAAGCCTCCCTAATGGAGTACTTTGCAATAGCTTATCACAGATCATGAATGAAGGTCACGACAAAGCACATGGGTTAGATAGCACATTTGCCTCATAGTTTAAATCCATCTCTATAGGGCACCGGGCTGGAAGGGCAGTCTTTACTGCAGCCCAATAAGGAATATATGCATCTGATGCCTCTCAAAACACTCTCTAAATACTTCATTTTTGAATCAATATGGCAACCCAAGACAAAACTAAAGCAAATGGCCTATGGCTTGGGGATAATTTCAAGGAAATTTGTATTTTAAGGGAAAGCAAACAACAAGGGAAAACTGTTATACCGCTTTTCATTTTTCATAAAGTGTAAAAAAGAAAAAATCTGATAAAATATTTAAAAGGAGAAACAGAATGTGCTTCTCAGTACTGGGGTCTAATGGACATGGGAATTTCAAATTGTTTCCTCCAGGATTAATGTCTTGTCAACATTAAACATAATCTTTCCTTGACATCACCATGGCAGATAAAAGGTGCTCAGGACACTTAGCTTGACTTGACTCAAAAGATGCAAGACCTCAGTGTACCTTTTAACAAATTATTGTAAGTAGAACATAGTTTTGCAGATATATAAATCCTCTGACGTGTTCCAACAGGTTGGAAAGTTCAACAAATAGGTCCAAAGTAAGGCTGGGCTGAGGTGGCTCATGGCCTCACCAAGGCCAGGCTTAGGGCAGGAACTCCAGAGGGAGGCGGGTGGACAAGCTTTCTTGAAAAATGCCAAATGACCTCTCATTGCCAAGGCAAAAAAGAGTGGCTTTCAACCTTCATGATGTCCACTTGGGGGTTACCATCCTGTTTAGTTCCATTTCCACCTGGGCTTACCAGGTGGAAAAGTATGTGCCTGCAATGCAGGAGACACAGGAGACGCAGATTTGATCTTGGGGTCAGGAAGATCCCTTGGAAAAGGGAATGGCCACCCACTCCAGTATTCTTGCCTGGGAAATCCCATGGACGGAGGAGCCTGGTGGGCTACAGTCCATGGGGCGGCAAAGAGCTGGAAATGACTGAGCAAATGAGTATGAACACAAAATCTAACTTTACTTGTACAAATAAAATAAGAGCTGGTGGCAAGAATCATGGTACAAGAGAATGTTAGCATTTCTGAGGGATCTGTGTCAAGACCTTCACAATCCCCAAGTTCACAGGTACTACAAGGGTACAGCTGGCCATGCTTTTATATCCTGAAGGTTCACTGTGACAAGCACAGGCATTGGAGAGTTGGATGATGAGTGAGGCTTCCCATGAGCCAAGAAAGCTGCTCTTCCTCAAACATCTGCCTCACATTTCAGTTTTAGCAAGACCGCAAATTACCATATTCTTGGGCTTTCCACTCACCTGCAAAACCACCAATAGTATGGCCTCAAATATCATAACGGCAGGTCTACCGCGCACTTCACCCAAGACAATCCCGCCTCCCCAGGGCCGACCTGAGCACATCTCTGAGGTAATCCCAGGATAAACAGGACCCTCTCCAGATCTGAGATTTGAGTCAGGACTTGCTGGATGTCTGAAGCTATTTCTGAGGCAGCAGATAACGGTTACGGAAAATTCCAGAAATTTGTAACAACTAAGGCTCCTGAGTTCCTCAACATGCCGACCCTTGTCATACAGTCACGTTTTCATTCACATTAAAGCCTCCTGTTTGGTGTAAATACTTACATCATTTTCTAAAAAATTAAACATGCTTCTTTCAGCCAACTCCTTTGACTCTTCAAATTTTTCTACTGCTTGTCTGACTTCTTCATCTGGTATCTTACCTACTCGCTTCTTTTTATAATCGTAATCCAGGCGGCGGCCTTCCAGCTTTTTCAGGTGGTGCTAAGAGACAAAGGAGTCCTTCAAAGAACTGTTACACTCAAACACAACACAAACAAACTGTTGGCATTTCTATGAAAATAGTCATTGCTTTTTCTCAGCATAAATTCTAGGGGGCAGGACCCCACCTTATACTTCTTTTGCGTGCACTCAGCATCTATTAGCAGCTCCTTTCACTGCCCGTCAGCAAGGAATATTTGTGGAATGATTGAATGGGTAGACGGATGGATGGATGGAAGATAAACTGAATGAGTGTCTATATGGAACATAAAGATGCATTATCAGTTTTCAGATTAATTTTCCAAGGTTCTCTATAGAACCCTTCAATTGAGCTCCATTAATTTCCAGGTAATTTCCAACCAAATTAACTATGCTCCCAAAAATGTATGTTTCTTTTGGCAACTCCTTACTAAGAAGTAGATTATAAAACACAAATTTCTAGTATCCTTTTGAATACGTAGGGATCTTCCATAAATTTCCCAAATAATTACAAAATAAGTTGAATAAACGCTATTGATGAATGTAATACACACAGAGGAACGAAAGTATGATGTCTTTAAGAAAGTAAAACAATTACTAATATTAGAGGTGTCCATTCAGGGAACACAGTGCCTCCTGTGGTAGTAAGTTCCCCATTACAGTCTGTGGGGATTTCATGTCAGAAATATTACAGAAGGGATCACTATACAGGTCAAGGGAGTTTACGATTATAACCCCTGGAAAACAGATATCTGATATTGAAAGTGGAAGTCAAAACAGACTCTCCCACTGAAGCATGTGGGTAGCTTGACTGTTCTTTCTAGTGGGAAGCACTGGTTCTAACTTCCACAATGGTTGGGTAAAAAAAATATGAGACAAAAAGTCAGAACCATCTCTCTTACATGTTCCGTGACTCTGGGCAAGTCTCTAAGCCCCTCCATACCTCCACAACTATGGTTGTAAATGGGGACAACCAGGCTTAACCTGGCTACTTGTGGGTGATGAAATGTCTGTAAAAGTTCTTTGAATCCACAAGACCTTTTATAGATATGTCAGGCATATGTTAAATGAATGGGTTTTCCAGTCAGGAGGTCCAAGAAACATAAAGCATAGTTGAGACTTTGAAAAGCCTACTGAATATTGGACACAAGTCTTGATCATCTATAGTATTTAGGTTTAAATGCATACAGTTTCTCCATCAAACCAGAGCTGAGTAACAAGAGGTACCACTTAAAAATTATCTTTTGCATAAGGAAAAACATTTAAGGCTAGGTGTATTTTGAAGATTTATCCCACTTTTTCTTTAGGATCCATATTCATATCTACTGAACCAGGTCAAGTGGAAGAGCAATGTAATCTGGTGAAGTGCCTGTCTTTCTTCAAGGACAACAGCACAGGAAGAAACGGCATATTATGTATTTCCACAAAGGAGGTGTTTCGTTTAAAGGTTCTGCATTTGGGAAAGATACCTTGGTATCCCCGCAGCTCATAATACCTCTTCTCTAGAATCATCTGTTCAATAATAGTCTGTGAGCACAAAGGCTGTGCTAGTCACCGTGACTACAAAAATGAACAAAACCTGACTCCTTACTCCAAAGCTCTTTCTCCCAAACAACAGAAACAGAGACACCGTGACACTCACAGCACAAGGAGCACCTGATTAAGTCCGGCAGAGAACAAGAGTTTCCCAAAGGACAGAACATCTGAACTGAGACCCGCGAGGTGAGATGGCTTAGCCGGGAGAATGGGGGAAAGGAGAACAACAGAGAATAGAGAGAGAGCCCAGTGCCACGGGGACTGTACATAATTCAGTGAGGCTGGGCAGAGTTCAAGTGGGAAGGGGCGAGCTATCAATCCCAATCAGTCAATCAATAGAGACAAGGAGGGACTGGGAATTAGGGACTAAGGTGCTGGATCTTTACTCCCAGTGGACAGCTGCTGGGGGGGGGCTTGTCCCTTAGGAAGACCACTCTGGTTGCGATGTGGAGAATGGACTGCAGGGGCCAAGATGTGAGTCTGGGAGTCAAGGACTGCTGTGCTGATGTGTTTAAACATTAACCAGAAGAAGTCAATAGAGAGAAAGGGGAAGAAGGGAGGTTCTGGAGAGAGGATGAAGGATGTAGCAAAGGCCCTGAGGAGGTGAGGATGAAGGACTCTGGGGCCCACTGGAGGACTGGCCTAAGGGAGCAGAATAGACACCAATTTCCCTAATATGGAAGAGAAAAAGGAGGGACAGTGGGAGTAAGGCGCTGAGCGAGGTGCTGGGCATGGGGTAGCGGAATGTTCTGGGAGTTCCTGAATGGATGCTTTCATTTTTCGTTCAACCTCCCCGAGTCCCCCTCTATAGCCCTCGGTTTCAGTGTGAATTCTAAACGTCTACACGGGCACCCAGGACTCTCCCCTGGGAAGCTCTGGGATACGGCCCAGGAATCTGCATTTCTAACATGAGATGATGCTGTTGCTCGCCCTGGGACCACACCAGGAGAATCACTGGGCCTGAAAAAGAAAAAGGGGGATCTCCCCCAAGTTCAGATGACTTCCAAGCTGGTCCCTGGCTGCACTCAGATCACTCCTCAAGGCCCCAGGAGTTGGGTCTTCTGGGCAGCTTCTCAAGAGGATGCCCAAAGGTCTCAGGGCAGGCTGTCCCTCCAGAATAGAAGTCCCTGGTGGGGTGGAAGTCTCAAGGCTGCTTTTGCGTATCTACCAAAACACCACCAAGCAAGTGGTGTGTGATTATTTACGGGTCCCTGAAAGCTCCTAGATATGCTCTGGAGGGCCATTTTTAACATTTTCCAAACACAAAATTGGGCTTCCCTGGTGGCTCAGACTGTAAAGAATCTGCCTGCAGTGTAGAAGACTCGGGTTCAGTCCCTGGGTTGGGAAGATCCTCTGGAGAAGGGAATGGCAACCCACCCCAGTATTCTTGCCTGGGAAATCCCATGGACAGAGGAGCCTGGAGGATTACAGTCCATGGGGTCGCAAAGAGTCAGACAGGACTAAGAGACTCACACTAACACTAAACACTAAATGCTGATTCCTAGATACTGATTTCCATGAGAAGTAATGGAAAATAATGATCACTAGCGCAATGAATCGAAAGACGCGGCCTGGATGGGAGGGGAGTTTGGGGGGATAACGGATACATGCATACGTATGGTGGAGTCCCTTTGCTGTCTACTTGAAACTATCACAACATTGGCTATACTTCAGTATAAAATAAAACATGTTTTAAAACTAAAATAAAAAAGATTTGAGAGAGTAACACTGAAACACATACAATACCATATGTAAAACAGATAACCAGTGGGAATTTGCTGTATGACATAGGGAACCCAAAGCCAGCCAGTGCTGGGTGGGATGGGGAGGGAGGTGGGACGGAGGTTCAAGAGGGCAGGGACATGTGTATACCTATGGCCGGTTCATGCTGATGGATGGAAGAAACCATCACAATATTGTAATTATCCTCTAATTTAACATAAAAGTTAAAACAATAAATAAGTAATAGATGGTGGCACTAAAAAAAAAAAAAAAGATGATGCAACTAGTACCGCATGATTTTGATGATCAAAAAACCAGTACAAAGTTCTGGAATCATTTTGTTATGTGAAAAACGACTGTAGAAGTAGGTATCTTGAGCTTGGCTTCTAGCTGGCTTCAATAAGACACAGAATAAAGGTCTAGCTGTCCTGGACTCTTTCCTGGTAAGCCAGGTTACCATAACTGAGTTATTATTTTACCACCCACAGTAAGATGATGCTTTCACTGAGTCGCTATGGAAATGTTCTAATGACTTTAAACAGTATAAACATCATATTAAGTAGCAACAGGCAGATTTATAGCCTAGAAAACTTACCCCAATCTCTTTTAAATCTTTGTCTTGTAGTAACTGAAGTGGATCAATAAAAGTTTGCTTTACATTAATATCAAGAGAGTCTTTCACCTCAGCCATTAGCTTCATGGATTCACCAACTTCTATCAATGCACTGCCTTCAACAGAGAATACAAACAAAAAAGGTTTCTTTAGCAGACTTAAATCAAAGTAAACAATGATATTTATTTAACTCCTTCCCCAAAGTTTGTGATGATCAATGATGTGAAACAAGGTCCTCAGTCTGGGACCTATGAATCTTGACCCAGAGAAAAGAAAATTTTAAAATGAGAAAGTCTTTCTATTTTATACATTTTCCTCACTGCTTCTGCACTTGCCACTGCAGAGTTAGATTAAAACCAAAGCTCCGACAGACTGAGGCACTTGCCGTATCCGCCACTAGAGGGGGTTAAAGCTCCTTGAGTTTAAACTGGTGGTTTTGTGAACTGGCACCAAAGGTTCCTTAGAAACTAGAACAAAATACCTCTTTGTAAACAATGAAAAGGATTCATTCATGGGGGCTAAGTATTAACCAATAAAGATGACAATAGAAATAAGTGAACAAATCCTCCTCTCAGCTTCTGGCTTCTAGGTCTTCTTGAGGCCTTGTATTGAATACTCCTTGTATTCTTGAGATGGTTCTAAGGCTCCCGACCCTTTCTGATCAAAGAAAGCCTGGCAGTGTCACACGAGCAGGATGGGCAGGATCTTCTCCTGCAGTGAGGTGCAGGCCAGTCACACCGGGCCTGAGCAGCCATAGGCAGCTTTAGCTGGATTGAACCCTGATATTTGGCGCCAGCTAACCTGCAACAGTATGCAAGTAGGCATTCGGGGGATGGAGGGGGAGGCGGTGGTTCTCGGTGGCTCGTGGTAAAGAATCTTCCTGGCAATGAAGGAGATGCAGGAGACTCGGGTTTGATCCCTGGGTGGGGAAGATCCCCTGGAGGAGGAAATGGCAGCCCACTCCAGTATTCTTGTCTGGGAAATCCCATGGACAGAGGAACCTGGCGGGCTGCAGTCTATAGGGTCACACAGAGTCAGACATGACTGAAGCAGCTGAGCATGCATGTACACACTCTGGTAGCTGAGCACAAGGAGGGCTGTGGTGACCAAGCTGACCAAACTATCTTTGCATTGAAGCCCTTGCCCTGTCATCTGACCAGATGCACTGCAGGACTGTCCATGGATGTCAGGGCCTGCCTGGCGGCCTCTCCTGTTCCCTTCACTGGTTCCCTTCTGAAGGTCAGCCTTCAGAACAAGGAATAGGCCATCTTGGTCCCAATCACCCAGGAAATAAAATAGAATTCACATTATACTGCTCCAAAGGACACTGATACCCTCTGAGACTAATTAATGTTTTAACATTTGAGGGTTTTTTTTTTCAAGTTTTCAAAAGCCTTTCCCCCCAGTTTCCTAAGTGAATTACTATGGCCTAATATCTGAATTCTCAATTGCCATATCTTGCCTTGTTTCCACTACAAGAGGAGCAAACATGTCAAATTCTCCGGGAAGACTTAACAATTCAATTCACCCACAATTTAATTTATCAATTTAAAGTAATCTCAATCAAATTTAATATGCTTTTTGGTGGCGTTCCCTAGCGGTCCAGAAGTTAGTACGTGGTGCCTTTACTACCATGGGCCCCAGGTTCAATCCCTGGTTGGGGATCCTGCAAGCTACACAACGTGGCAAAAAATAAAATAAAATTAATAGTTTTTTGTTTTTAGTAGAGGGAACTTAAAAGGACTCTAAATTTCATCTGGAAAAATAAAATAGGTGAGTATGTCTGTGAAATTTTTATAATATCTAGGGGAAATTTTAGTTAAACATATTTTTAAATGATGATATTTAAAACAACATGGTACTTGATCAAAGCAGAGTACAGATCCAGAAAACAGAAGAGAAAGATCAGAAACAAATTTAAAATATTATATATAAAATTTTATAACAGAAAAGCTGTAGCTGAGAAAGGTTGAACTTTTCAATAAAGTATTAGGGCAACTAACTAGCTGTGTATTTGTGAGAACACAAAATTAAAACCCTACTGCACAGTATTTGCCCATTAAACTCAAGAGCTTGGAAATTTAAAGGTAAGGAAAGAAAACATATGTATGAAAATGAAGTATAAATAAACAATTGCAGTTTACTAGTGGAGGGGGAGGGGTGGAAATGTTTTTCTAAACATGATACCAAAGCCATAAACCACAAAGGAAGATCAATGAACCCCACTAAATAAAAAGCAAAAATCTCTTTTCATTAAAATGATCTCTATCTACAACAGCAGAAGGTACATGCATACCTGGGGCAAAACTTCATCCAACATATGTGACAGACAAAGAGTAAATATTCTGACCACTGAAAAAAGCTCATAGGGACTTCCCTGGTGGTGTACTGGCTAAGACTCTTCACTCCCAATGCAGGGGGCCCGGGGTTTGGTCCCTGATCAGGAAACTAGATCCCACAAGCCACAACTAAAGATTCCACATGCCACAACGAAGATAAAGATCCTACATGCTGAAACTAAGAGCCAGTGCAGCCAAATAAATATTTACAGAAAAGAAAAAAGCTCGCAGAATAGTAAGAAAAAAAAAGGTGAACACCTTAATATAAAAATAAGCAAAAGAAACAAATATAAAACTCACAAAGATGATGACAAACATGACTAGAAAACCAGCCTCACACACAATCCAAAACATGAAGTTAAAACAGTGCCCAGATATCAGTTCTATTTGCTAGAAATCAGATTATCAGTTATTTAAAAGGAAACTAAAAGGAGAACTCTCAGAGTTAGTATAACTGTGCTGGGAAACATTCTCATACCCTTCTGGCAGGAGTGTCAATATGGTATAACCCTTCTGGAGGGTCATTTGAAATTATGCTTCAAAAACCTGAAAACTAAGCATACTCTTGACTCAGCAACTTAATTACTAGGAATTTCATCTAAGAACATAATCTTGGATATTTCCAAAGCTTTAGGAAAGTGGCTATCATAAATGCTGTGCAAATTTTTTTTCACATTAAAAAATCTAAATATCCAGTAAATGGGATTAATTGAACAAACTATGGATATATGGAATATTATGCAGTCTTTTTTTAAAAAAAGGACTGTGTGGAATATTACTCGGCCATGAAAAGGAATGAAACTGAGTCATTTTCAGGGATGTGGATGAGCTAAGAGTCTGTCATACAGAGTAAAGTAAGTCAGAAAAAGAAAAACAAATATCATATATTAAGGCATATATGTGTAATCTAGAAAAGTGGTCCAGATGAACCATTCCTGCAGGGCAGGAATAGAGATGCAGACATAGAGAATGGACATGTGGACATGCATGGTGAGGAGGGGAGAGTAGAGTGAATGGGGACACAGACATGCTATCACATGTAAAATTGATAGCTGGTGGGAAGCTGCCATACAGCACAGGGTGCTATATGTGCTCTGTGATGACCTGGAGGGGTGGGATGGGGGTGGGCGGGAGGAGGGCAGGGAGGGGATACATGTACACATATGGCTGAATCATGCTGTTGTACAACAGAAACTAACATAACACTGTAAAGCAATTATCCTCAAAAAAAAAAAAGTGGAAAGTAATGTGGAATATTGTTTAATAACATGGACCGTGTTTATAGTCAGTGGGAATAAGCAGATTACAAAAGGGAATTAGGGTATACATACTATCAGTTCAGTTCAGTCACTCAGTCGTGTCCGACTCTTTGCGACCCCATGAATCACAGCACGCCAGGCCTCCCTGTCCATCACCAACTCCCGGAGTTTACTCAAACTCATGCCCATTGAGTCAGTGATGCCATCCAGCCATCTCATCCTCTGTCGTCCCCTTCTCCTCCTGCCCCCAATCCCTCCCAACATCAGGGTCTTTTCCAATGAGTCAACTCTTCGCATCAGTGGCCAAAGTATTGGAGTTTCAGCTTCAACATCAGTCCTTCCAATGAATACCCAAGACTGATCTCCTTTAGGATGGACTGGTTGGATCTCCTTGCAGACCAAGGGACTCTCAAGAGTCTTCTCCAACACCACAGTTCAAAAGCATCGATTCTTCAGTGCTCAGCTTTCTTCACAATCCAACTCTCACATCCATACATGACCACTGAATAAACCATAGCCTTGACTAGACGGACCTTTGTTGGCAAATGCTATCTAGGTTGGTCATAACTTTCCTTCCAAGGAGTAAGCATCTTTTAATTTCATGGCTGCAGTCACCATCTGCAGTGATTTTGGAGCCCCCCAAAATAAAATCTGACACTGTTTCCCCATCTATTTGCCATGAAGTGATAGGACCAGATGCCATGATCTTAGTTTTCTGAATGTTGAGCTTTAAGCCAACTTCTTCACTCTCCTCTTTCACTTTCATCAACAGGCTTTTTAGTTCCTCTTCACTTTCTTCCATAACGGTGGTGTCATCTGCATATATGAGGTTATTGATATTTCTCCCAGCAATCTTGATTCCAGCTTGTGCTTCTCCCAGCCCAGCATTTCTCATGATGTACTCTGCATATAAGTTAAAATAAGCGGGGTGACAATATACAGCCTTGACGTACTCCTTTTCCTATTTGGAACAAGTCTGTTGTTCCATGTCCAGTTCTAACTGTTGCTTCCTGACCTGCATATAGGTTTCTCAAGAGGCAGGTCAGCTGGTCTGTATTCTGATCTCTTTCAGAATTTTCCACAGTTTATTGTGATCCACATGGTCAAAGGCTTTGGCATAGTCAATAAAGCAGAAATAGATGTTTTTCTGGAACTCTCTTGCTTTTTCGATGATCCAGCGGATGTTGGCAATTTGATCTCTGGTTCCTCTGCCTTTTCTAAAACCAGCTTGAACATCTGGAAGTTCATGGTTCACGTATTGCTGAAGCCTGGCTTGGAGAATTTTGAGCATTACTTTACTAGCGTGTGAGATGAGTGCAACTGTGTGGTAGTGTGAGCATTCTTTGGCATTGCCTTTCTTTGGGACTAGAATGAAAACTGACCTTTTACAGTCCTGTGGCCACTGCTATAACCCCACTTTAAAATTTTAAAAACTGCATATGAATAAATACACGAATAAACCAAAGGTATTAATATAAAGAGCAAACAACAAAGAGTATAACTGGGCCCATCAGTGGGGAGGTAACTATGGGTGATGTTGGCATCTTCTTTTATTTTAGTTGCCTATGTTTTCTAAATGTCCTAAGATGAACATGTATTATTTTTTAAATTTTAATTAATTTAATTTTTGACCATGTCATGTGGCATACAGGATCTTAGTTCCCTGACCAGGGATAGAACTGTGCCCCTGCATTGGAAGTGTGGAGTCTTAACCACTGGACTGCCAGGGAAGCCCTGAACATGCATTTCTTGATAATAGGAAAAATTAATAAGGGTTGTTAAAATGAAGGTTTTGTGCATTACCAAAACTCAACGAAGGCTGCGTGCTCAGCTCTCCCCAGTGATGTGGTAATACTCACCAAAAGTGGAGCCTTCCCCGAGCTCCTTGCCGTATTTCAGCATGCAGTCACCCAGCAGGCCCTCCGTCTGCGGGTACCCAGTGGTTTTCACCTGGCCTCGGATCTTCGACACAGTGTTCAGCATTCCTAGCTTAGCTCTGTATGCTTAAAAACATTATCATTTGTAATTCCTTAAAGTGGAACGGCAGAGTGACAGGTACACAGCATTTAACAAATGCGGCTGCGAAATCAAGGTCGCCCTAGACTCAATGTCAGAGACCTGAGACAGGAAGGGCCCTGTGTGACCCAGTTTCTCACATGGTTTCCTAGATTATTAACTAGGATAAGTGCTAAGGGCCATGATGAAAAAAAGAAATTAGGGCACACAGTGTTGACTCCCAAATAATATTACAGTAACCGAGGCTATCATTACCCTATCCACAGCTAATTCACTGAGTCAAGACGCTGACACTAGGGAAGACATATCCTCCTAGGGACCGACTGCAAACCAAGAATAGAATGGCTGAGGTGGGTGTTTCAAACCAATTGGTGGTGAACACCCACCCCCACCCCCAAGAGTGTATCCAGACTGATGATCTTCAACGTTATGGTACAAGCGCACTGCAGGGCACACTCCTATTTAGGAAGCAGAACCAGTAGGAGACAGACACTCCCATGGTGAACAGGAGTCTGGGTTGATGCTCCCTTGGGTGCAGCTCTACTTCTGGACCCAAGGAGAATGGTGGGTGGCCACTAGATCCTTTCTCTGACCTAGGCCATGAGGGTTGACTAATCCCAGCTCTGTGCAACACCCCATGCTAACTACTAGGACCTTCGAGAGACCTAAGACAGGGACGCCCTGGTGAACCAGTGGTTAAGACTGTGCTTCCACTGCAGGAGGCATGGGTTCAATCCCTGATCAGGGAACTAAGATCCCCCATGCCACTCAAGGTGGTCAAATAATAATTTAAAAAAAGAGAGACAGCTAAGACATACTCTGCCCTCAAGGAGTTCATAAATAGTTCTTGGAAGGCACAAAATCCAAGATGTCATTACACAAATAAAGTCTTATGTGGTACATAGAAAAGAAAATATAACAATATCCTGAATAAAGATGGAAAGATGCCCCCATCTCGAAAGTTCAGAAATAGTGTAAGATGCAGAAAAGGAATGCTTATGGTTTACAACCAACAGATAAAGGGTAGGCTGCTTTGACTGAAGAAGAAATTAATACAGAACAAATCAGGAAATACTTAGGGGAAAATGGTACTATGAACTGAACTCCAAGCTAAGGATCTGGGATTTTAGTCTGCAGGCTAAGTGATGTTTGAGATAATTTTAGGCCGTAAAGGGATAAACTTTTATTTTCTCTGATTTTAATAATTACATATTTATTTTCATGTATTCTAGGCTAGTGCTTCCCAAACTTTAATGTGCCTGCAAAACACCCAAGGATTCTGTTAAAATGTAGAATATTTTATCCAATATATGTTTTTAGATTTATTTCCTAGATTTTCAGATGTTTGGATGTGTGCTGATTCCTACAGCCGAGGGAATCACAGTAATTATATACAAATAATAAATTCATACAAAGTAAAAGCAGATTTGGAAATCCACAGAATTCAAAACTTGGACGCCCTCTGTCGGTCTCTATAATTTAGAACTTAGAAAAACTTCATCAAGGGAATCCTGCTTCAGTGCCTAGGAAAGAAAGACCTCCTGCCAAGAAGCTGCAGTAACAGTGGAGCTTCTCATGTTTGATTCACTTCATCAGCATTTGCACCATGAAGTGAAAGCAGTTTCAAAGTCACTGACACTGTTAGAATAGGATGGCAGAATTAAAAAAAAAAAAAAGCAGCAGCAACTGAATAAGAAAGTATTGACAAAATATTTAGTGAGTTTCCAAAGCATCTCTTTGCTTAGAAAAGTGTCTTCATGCTCCCCAGGTGGCACAAGTGGCAAAGAATCCATCTGCCAATTCAGCAGACACATGTTCAATCCTTGGGTGGGGAAGATCCCCTGGAGAAGGAAATGGCAACCCACTCCAGTATTCTTGCCTGGGAAATCCCATGGACAGAGGAGCCTGGTGGGCCACAATTCATTGGGTTGCAAAGGATCGGACATGACAGAGCACACCCGCATGCATGCAGAAGTGTCTTGCTTTAAGATCAAGACTCCATCCAAATAGTGTCTCCATAGTTCACAGAAGTCTCTGCCCTGTTTGTCATCAGCTAGGAAACACTGCAACTACCTTTAGTCACTCAACTTTAAACTATTTAATTTCATTATTTGGACACAGAGAACACTGTTTCTAGATCATGTCAACCATACGCTCACTAAATACTGGTTGTTAGAATCTGTGATGCTCAGTAAAACTCGGTTATTAGAATCTATGAATGAACAATTGAATATTTCAAGACATTTTCTAACTTTACCTGGATTTGGCTGAAGATATTCTGTGGCTTTTGAAAGAATTTCTGCAACTGCTTTATTGGTAATGTCTATTTTCTTTTAAAAAAAGAAAGAAACATAAAAATATTAGTAAATGACAAACGAATTCAACAGAAAAACAAACAAGAATAAATTTCATTAAGTTAGTATTTATAACAACACTGTTATAATGATTTTAACTCAAATGAGCCTTTCAACATTTTGGGTAGAGGGAATATTTTCTTAACTTTTAGATTCTGGGGCATCCTTTCAATAACTGCTCCTCCCAACGACAGTGGAGAACACTAACTTCTTTTTCAGCATTAAAATGAATATTAATGTAACATTTAGGAAACTTGGAAAAGTCATTATGCTCCACTAGATTATTGGATATACTTGAAGGTCTCTCAAAACCAAGCTTAGATGTTTCTAAGCCAAACTTTCCATGAATGCTGGGTGAACTTGAATTTCTGTACTTATATAGGAGGCCAGAATACAGATTCACATGAGAAACTATGGGCTTCCCTGGTAGCTCAGTGGCAAAGAATTGGCCTGCCAATGCAGGAGACTCAAGACTCGGGTTCCATCCATGGTCCGGGAAGATCCCCTGGAGAAGGAAATGGCAACCCACTCCAGTATTCCTGCCTGGGAAGTCCCATGGACAGAGGAGCCTGGCGGGCTACAGTCCATGGGGTCACAAAGAATCAGATATGACTTAGCAACTGAACAACAACATGAGGAACTACTTCAGTAAGCCAACAACAGAGGAACCATCATGACTGTTATCACTGAAATACACATTCTTCTGTTCTGTGGTCAGAAGATGTTAACCTCAGAGACTTCCCTGCTATATTACGACTGAATCTCCTTCCACAAAACCAATTCTGGACACTGTGGCTTTTGGTTAACCAGAAGATAAATGTGAGCATATACAGTAAAGTTAACTATGCACATTTCAATAGATTTATTTTATACCATCAATAGTCGAAAAGAGAATGTTTTAAAGGAAAAGGATATTCCACTCATGAGAACAATTTAAAAATCATCAATAATGAGAATAAATATTTGTTTTAGGTTTGATGTTAAGTTTGAGGGAATCCTAAGCAATGCGTTTGTATTGTAGTCTGAAAACTTGAAGGGAATTTGCCTAATTATATAATGAGTTGGTGATAAATGTGTAAGCATTTCATCTGTTAAATGTATGACTAATGGAACCTAAAGTGAAGTTCACTGAAAATGATCGCCATTTTTCTATACTGAAGTTGTTCTTGTTTAGTCGCTAAGTCATGTCCAACTCTTCTCAATCCCATGGACCGTAGCCTGCCAGGCTCCTCTGTCCATGGGATTTCCCAGGCAAGAGTACTGGAGCGGGCTGCCATGCCCTCCTCCAGGGGATCTTCCTGGCCCAGGGATCGAACCCATGTCTCCTACATTAGCTGACAGATTTTTTTACTGCTGAACCACAAGGAAAGCCCAATACTGAAATTACTAAATGTAGGAATAAGATCCATACGTTTAGTTTAAGGCTTAAGGCTTGGGTTTGAGATTTATAACTTTGTATAAATTCAATATTAATTAAAGCACAACTTGGAATGGTCATTCCATGTACACAATTCTCTTGGGACATGAAAAGCCACCAGGTATCTAAGAATCACCTCTGAAGGGTGAGGGTGAGAGGAGACAGAGGCAAGAACACTTTCTACTTAGACTCTTCTATTTCTTTTGGGGGAAAACACCAAGAAACAAACAGCCCAAAACTCAACATGCCTTGCTCTGCACATACTGGCAGTGCTTCCAGGACAGCCCAGGAATCAATACAGGGAATGAATCCTTTACAAATGAAAGAGGATGCCACTAGCCATGTTGGCAAATATGACCAAACAAGATAAACACTGAAAAAATAACTCGTTGCATAAAAACAAACAAAAAAAATATTAAAAACAAAACCTTGCTTCTAGAATAAGTGGAAATACCGGCGGTAAGGTGGGTACATGTGTTCAGATTAAGAAAATGCAATGAAGGGATTTCCCTGATGGTCCAGTAGCTAAGACTTCGCCCTCCAATGTAAGGGGTGTGGGTTCAAATCCTGGTCAGGGAACTAAGATTCCACATGCCTCTCAGCCAAAAAATCCAAAGCATAAAACAGAAGCAATACTGTAACAAATTTGATAAAGACTTTAAAATGGTCTACATGAAAAAAAGAAAAAAAAAATTTTTTTTTAAAAGGAATAAAATGCAATGTACATATCTCAGCAAACCATCAGGACATATGGGAGAAAGCAGAGAGGTGACAAATTATTTTTGTAATGTCTCCCTGGGCATCTTTGGTGGCTAATTACCCCTAGAATTTCCATACGTGTTGGTACCTACCTCTGAGGTGCCCCAAAGTCTAGGTCCCTGACACTCCCAGACCTCAGTCCTTACAGAGCTGCTGGCAGTCCTGGTTTATAATATTCTCTTTTTTAAAAAATTATTTAAAGAATCCACATCTGTCTTTGTATCTTTCTTATTCCCTATGTAGTTTATCTGTGTTTTCCCTTTTCCCTCTCTTGCTCACACTTACTAGAAGTGGTCTTTCAAAAAAAGATAATTCTTGGTTTTATTGATTGATTCTAGCTTTTTGCTGTTATTATAGTGTATTTGATTAATCTCTCATTTATCTGTATTGATTTCTTCCTTCCACCTAGAGTGATTTGTTTTGCTGTATTTTCCTAATTTTTGGTTTGAATGATTTTCTTCATTCTCTTCCAACATTTATTTTCTATTAAATGCATTTAAGACAGCTATATATTACAGGTTTTGGCACATAGAATTCTCATGACTAAGTGATCTTTAATTTTACTTTCCATTTCCTCTTGAGATAAGAATTATTTTTGCATGTTCTTCCATTTCCAAACACCCAGAATTTGGAAACTATACCCTCCTTGTAATTCTCGTGTTCTACGATTTTACTTAGGAAATTTGTTTTTTTCCCTACAGTCCAGTAAATAATTGATTACTGAAACTTCTTTGAAGGAATTTGAAGTGAATATAAATTCTCAATTTGAGAAATACAGACATCTATATTTACTTAAAATCAAATTTACTAGTCATATTTTATGCAAATTCCCTATGATCCTATTTATTCTTGTCAACTTAATCTGTTATTTTATGGGAAAGCTATGCATTTTTGTCAGTTCTCTATGTATTTCTGATTGCTTTTGCCTTCTATTTTAGATGCCATGTTATATGATGCACAATGTTATATGATGTCATAGTATTCCGATAGACTACATGATACATCTTCCGATAATATTTTAAAATCTTCTTTTTCCAGTTAGTATTCTTTTGGCCTCAGATTTTACTTTGACATCACTTTTATTCCTCTGTTGTGTATGGTTAGCATTTGTCATGGAATATCTTTCTCCATTTGTTGGTGTTCCATCAATAAGTCGTATCTGACTCTTTGTAACCCCATGGAGTACACCACGCCAGGCTCCTCTGTCCATGGGATTCTCTAGGCAAGAATACTGGAGTGGGTTGCCATGCCCTCTTCCAGGGAATTTTTCTAACTCAGGGATCGAACCCACATTTCTCATGTCTCCTGCACTGGGAGGAAAGTTCTTTACCACTGAACCAACATTAACTTTGTCATTTCTATGTTATGTTTCAGGTGAGTCTAATATCATCTAATTCACCTCTTGTAGAAAGTCCTTAAAGCTTCTTGTCACTTATTAAATATTTCCATGCTTTTCGATGCTGTAATAAAACAGATAATAGATTTTATTTTTATATTTCTTCTGTCACTCACTTGGGTTTTGGGAGGAAAAAGAAGTAATCAAGAGAGGTTTCAGTCCACCAACTGAAACTAAAATTCCTGAAATGTGCTTTCAAATTTAACCTTTCAACTGAATCACTTTCTTAGTAATAAAGTTGCATAAAATATCTTTATTTATCAAGAAATTTTAAAGTTATTTTAGGTATGCCAGTGATGTTTAAATGTTCTGCATTTCTCATTCTTCCAAAACTGTTTCCAAAAGCAAAACAAAATAAGCTTTCTGTCAAGGCATTAACATTGTTAGAAAATTAACTGTGCTCACCCAGAAAACAAGAAGCTCCCTGGAGGACAGTGAGGCCAGGTCCAGAGCACCCTGTAGAGGGTAACCCCACACACACACCCCATGGCACAGTCTGGGGCTCGACTCCCTTCCCCAGCATCTGCTGAAAGACCTGCTACCTGCTACAGCCTGTATCCTCCATGTTACACCCAAGGAAGCCTTTCCTTGGAAAGCAGAGAAAGCTCTGATTTCTCTCAGTCCTCTCTCACTGGGGGAGTCTGGTTATTAACACAGGGTTATGTTTAAAGGTCCCAAAACAAAGGGAAGGGTACTGAGGAGACTCATAACTAGTAATGGTCCCACTTTTGCCTCTACCTAAACTATTCCATGGGTGACCCTTGTGACTCACTGGTAAAGAACCCTCCTGCCAATGCAGGAGACACAGGTTCCATCCCTGGGTCAGGAAGATCCCCTGGAGAAGGAAATGGTACCCGCTCCATTACTCTTGCCTGGGAAATCCCATGGACAGAGAGGCCTGGCAGGATATAGCCCATGGGGTCGCAAAAGAGTTAGAAATGACTTAGCAACTAAACAACAACAAAGGACTTCACACAGGTGACCAGGAAGCTTGTTCAGAGATACAGAGTCCATAGTCTTCCTTTGCAATGTGATAACAATCATTTCTATAGTACACTCACTGGATTTTTTAAATGCTTTCACACATAGAATTTTTTTTTTTTCATAATTCTTAAAACATCCATGTGAGGCAAGCAGAGCACACATTATCATCCTGCGTCACAGGTCACGAAAGTTTGAAACAGCTTATTCAAGTAGACGTAGCTGGTTCCAGTGGCAGAACCAAGATAAAAATTGTTATGTAGCTGCTGTAACACATGGAAACAAAGTCCTCCACACATGAGATCAATGTTTAGGTATTTGAAGGGTCTCCTCCCAATAACACATTTGACTCTCCAAGATGCTTCATCACAAATTACTTTGGCTGAAACTGTTCACTAAGATGGGCCATCTTTTGAGCATTCTGACTTTGTCCAGTAGAGGGCACCAGTTAGCCATAGCCCATCTCTCAAGAGCCAGGGTCTTTATTTGAAGAACTGCCTTTTGGATTCCATAATCTACACTTTAATTCACACCTCCTAGATCCCCATTCTAATATCTTTTACGATACCAGTATATGTCATATCACAGTAAAACTCAAATTTACGAGATAATTTACATTAAAATGTTCTCTTACCCTTTCCATGTCAAGAAATTCGTCATCTAGTTTTGTTCCTTCAACACCACTTATTTTTTCACTAAACAGCTGTAGAAATAAACACAAGTAATTGTTTGTACAATCATTCATTATCACAGTATTTGACTCAAATTATTACAAAAAAAAATATTCAATTCCAAATTGTTGGGGGTTTTTTTTGGATGAAATCCTTTAAGAAAATCATTGGAAGGAGTAACCATAGCTAAGAATATGGGAAAATACACACTCCTCACTCATTCAACAGACACCTATTATGCACCTACTATATGTAAAACACAAGGCAGTTTCTCTAGTAGAAACATAAATAAGATCTTTTATCTTTGTTGCGGCAAGTGGGATCTTTACTTGTGGCATGTGAGATCTAGTTCCCTGACCAGGGAACGACCCAGGCCCCCTGCATTGGGAGTCCTGCATTGGGAGTGTGGAGTCTTAACCACCGGACCACGTTATTTTGAACACACTAAGGTTCATCTGTGTTAAGGAGGAGATGAAGAATGAATGGTGTAATTGATTTAATAAGGTTGAGAAGTATCTGCTTTATGTAATTAGTGGTAACTACTAAAAGCACAAAACAATTAACATACATATAATACTACGAGTTATAACATAGTATCCATACCAGTACATCAGTGGGAAATCAATGTTTCCCTATCCAAAAGAAAACAAAGATAAAGGATATTCAGGAGAACATAAAAGGTGACAAGTGGAAACTACAAAATTAAGATAGTAATCACAAGTCCAAAAAGGTCAGTAATCATTATCTATGCAAATAAGTTCAACACAAGAAAGGATAATTAATAGAGTCGATTTTAAAAATCCAGCTTTATAGCTTTTAAGAGACATACCTAAAATGCAATGCACAGGAGAGTGAAAAGATTAATAGATAAATTATCTTCTTGTTGTTGTTTAGTTGCTAGGTCATGTCTGACTTTCTGTAGCCCAACAGGCTCCTCTGTCCCTGTGATTTTCCAGGCAAGAATACTAGAGTGGGTTGCCATTTCCTTCTCCAGACGATCTTCCCAACCCAGGGATTGAACCCAGATCTCCTGTATTGCAGGCAGATTCTTTAGCATCTGCAGCCATGAAATTAAAAGATGTTTGCTCCTTGGAAGAAAAGCTATGACAAACCTTGACAGCATATTAAAAAGCAAAGACATCCCTTTGCCAAGAAAGGTCCATATAGTCTAAGCTATGGTTTTTCCAGTAGTCATGTATGAATATGAGAGTTGGACCATAAAGAAGGCTGAACGCCAAAGAATTGATGCTTTCAAATTGTGGTGCTAGAGAAAATTTGAGAGTCCCTTGGAATGCAAGGAGATCAAACTAGTCAATCCTAAAGGAAATCAACCCTGAATATTCATGGGAAGGACTGATGCTGAACCTGAAGCTCCAATGCTTTGGCCACCTGATGTGAAGAGCCAACTCACTGGAAAAGACCCTGATGCTGGGTAAGATTAAGGGCAGGAGGAGAAGGGGAAACAGAGGATGAGATGGTTAAATAGCATCACCAAGTCAGTGGACATAAATCTGAGCACACTCCGGGAGATAGGGAAGGACAGGGGAGCCTGACCTGCTGTAGTCCATGGAGTCTCAGAGAGTCAGACACAACTTAGCGACTGAAGAACAACAACAAAATTAATAAGGAGAGACCTGATCTAATATTAAATGGAGCAATTCACCAAAATTCTGGTATAATATAATCTACCTAACAGCATAACTGAGAAAAAAAAAAAATAAAGCAAAAACTGAGAGAAATAACTGAAATAACAAATCCACAATCATTAAGGAGATTTAACACAAGTCTCTCAGAAAACCGGCAGATCAAACATGATTAAAAGAAAATAACTTGGAAGGGATACAGATAGTTTTAATGATCAAATTAATATCCTTGATAAAATATGCACAAATATATATATATCCCTCCAACTAATAAACAGATAATATAGTCTTTGCAAGTACAGATAGAACACTAGAAACAGTGATCATTTACTAGGTCACAAATCAGTCAACACCATACAGAACACATTTTTAACCATAATTCAATTAAATTAGAAATCAACAATATAAATAAATATGCAGGTATAAAGTTTTAAAATTCAGTCCTAAATAACTATGAGTTTAAAGGAAGTCCCAAGAGGAGTTACAAAAAAAAAAATTAATAATGAAGATACATCAAAATCTGTGAGATGCAGCAAAATCAGTGTTTTGAAATCAATGTGTTACTTTAAATTCATTTAAAAAAAAAAAAACACCTCCATGTTTCAAACTGATACATGTCATTCAATCTAACTCAACAAACATCTAAAAGTCTACCAACTAGGTCAATATGCTAAACGTACAAAGATCAATCAATCTAAATACATTTCAGGGCTTCCCTAGCAGCAGCAGCTGGTGGCTCAGTGGTAAAGAATCTGCCTGCCAATGCAGGGGACATGGGTTCTATCCCTGGTCCAGGAAGATCCCATATACCACAGAACACTACTGAGCCTGTGCTCCAGAGCCCGGGAAACACAACTACTAAGCCCACAGCTGAACTGCTGAAGCCCGAGCTCCGCAGCAAGAGAAGCCTGAGCGCTGCAACTAGGGAGGAGCCCCTGCTCGCCGCAACTAGAGAAAAGCCCAGGTAGCAACGAAGACCCAGTACAGCCAAAAATAAATAAACTTCCTTAAATACACTGCAACCACTTACACTGAGAAGCAGTAAATGGCCGTAACACGAGAGGCAGAATAGAGAGAAGCACAACTTGCTCTTCAAACCCAGACGGAGGAAAGCAAATTAAATGGATGAGAAGGTGCCAAGAAATTCCCAGAACTGACCAGAAGGGGCCAAGGAGATTCATTAGGAGATAAGGGACACACACACAATGAAGAGGCAGACAGTGAAAGAGTGTCCAAATTTTAGTCTAAAACTCTTATCTACCCTCTTCAGCTTTAAACACTAGTAAGCCCTCACCTATCCAGCTTCTCCATCACAAACACTGCATCTGACCTGGGCTTGCGAGATGGAAGTAACGAATCTAAAATACACATAGCTAAGGAAATGTATCTCCTGTGATCTTCCCCTCATGAGAAAAAGGGTCATGTTGCCAATTAGACCTGTCCCAGGATGGCTTGTTGCTATAATCAGAGATGACACTCTTCATTCACCATCTACTTCTCGTTGGGTTCCAATTTAATCAATGATGGGAAAATGAAAACCGTTATCAAAGACTACAACAGAGCAGTGATGCAAAAGACATTTATTTGGGAGACATGAAATTTTTGCTTTTCACCTAGATGTGTTGGGGTTTTAGTGGTAAATGTTAACACAGCCTTGGACTTCTGCTTATGCAAAAAAAAAAAAAAATCTGATTTCAAAGAACTCTTGGCTTCTCCAACTTCTTCCCTTTTATGAAGCAAGAAATTAGACAGCAAGAAAGCCAGAACCTAGGAGAAAATGTAAAGAAGCAGATTTTATACCTCAGGATTTCAGAATGTGTTTTGGATTGGTATTTTCCAACACATGTGCCACAAAACACCTGCTGCACAGGATACAAGTAAGAGTTGTACAGAACAGCTCCTTCACCATGTCCTTGGAAACACGATAAACAAGATTAAGCAGACCTCTACTAAAAGAGACTTTTCAGAGACTTTAAAGTGGAAATGGGCATTGTTGATTTCCAAGGAGGTGCATGTAAGATAGAGCATTTCCCACCCATATCTGGTCACGGGAGATGTCTCAGCCGAGTAGTATGTGCTTTGAGAAGCCCTGAACCAAAAATTTCACCTTCTTTACTGGCTCCTTTTTTTTTTTTTTTTCCATTTACCAGTCGGTAGTCATGTCCTGCTGTTATCAGCTTGGAAAACAAGGCAATACTCAAGTGTAAATCTAAATCATGAAGCTTATTTGTAAGTTGTTAACATTAGGAGACGAGCACAGGGCACTTGTGAGTTCTCTGTGCTAGTTTTGCAACTTTTCTGTAAGTTAAAAATATTTCAAAATACAAGATGATTTTTTAAAATCTCTGAAGGCAGCAGAGAGCAACCAAGGCAATCAGGACTTCAGAGGCCCAAAATCATGAAGAAGGGAAACGCACTGAGAAGAGCAATAGATTCACAGCTGCTTCTTCCCTTTGGGGAAATTCTTGCCTTGCAACACATGATATAAAAGCTAAGCAGAAAGCCTCAGCTTAGAACCTGCAGCAGCTTTGCTGGGCTGGGAAGAGGGAAACCGAAGTGCACTGTAACCTAGGAAATCAGGCTAGAAGAGGCCAAAATTCCAGGAAAAGAAAAAAAGGACATATAAAGAAGTAAACCCAATAGGCTGTGTGCAATTTTCTCTCAAGGCTTTTGACAATTCTTAAGCTGCAATATGCACAAGGCAAGATGCTTGGCTACCAGCAAAAAGTGGCTGCTAGAAGGCTAAAGATCGAAGTGGAGATTTCTGCATTATCACAGTGATCAAGAGACAAAATTATAGAGTTCAAGATGCCCCAAAACAAGGAACCTCAGTAAACACCCTGGGTTTTTGGTTCAAACCCTGAAGGCCTAAAGGCCTAAGACTAACGGCAAGGTCGAAAGAGATGGGCCCTCACAAAGCCTGATATGCAAACTTGAATTAGTTCAGTCCCTGTGTGCGTTAAGGTTATTGACCTTTACCCTCATTATGTGGCAGAATAAAACTTTCTCTCTGGAGGAAATCTTCATATACAGCATCTACCATTAAAATAAAAAAATCATTTACCATGCCAAGAGACTGAACCAAACAACTGAAAATTAAGGGAAAAATAATAATCCAATAGGCAATCCCAACACTGACATCAAAAATTATCTTTAAGATAATTATGATTGGCAAACCCACAGCTAATATCATACTCAGTTGTGAAAAAAGGAAAACTATCCTTCTAAAATTAGGAACAAGACAAGGCTGTTCACTCTCACTACTCTTATTCAACATGGTATTGGAAGGCCTATAGTTAGGCAAAGAAAAGAAATAAAAGGCATCCATATTGGAAAGGAAGAAGTAAAACTCACAATTTTCAGATGATGTGATTTCGTATACTGAAAAC